GCTATGTGCCGTGTGCAAGCATGATTATTGCATGTGTTAATGAAATATGTGTGAATAGGCGTGTTAGCGCCGTTGTAATATGCTGTGAATGATTTAGCGATACACTGGAGTGTGGAAGATGAGGACGGTAGAAATATCTTGGGGAAGAAGGAGTGGTTGTGACACCGACTGCGGAACGGGTGCACCATGAGCCACACACTCTCTTCCTGACTAGACCTCTAACCACTACCTTTGCTGAGCAACCCGTGACTGCCCACGTGGTATCCGTGAGGCGAGGGTAACCGACGACCATTTATGGTGTTAATCTGTGATCACAGTGCCACAGTGGGTGTGGCTGGTGTGCGTATGCACATGTTTGTGTATTGTACTTATAAATGTGAAATGCTGCCGATGCTGTGAGTGCATCAATGTTAAATGGACATGAACTATGTGATAATGCTGCCTGTGATTGTATTTGTTAATGTTTTGAAAATGTGCTAGAGGTGAGACTCTATGTTGACTATGTGTTTTTGGGTAGTGTAGAGTACTCACCCTTACATTTATTTTTTAGATAATCAAGACGATCAGTATCGGACTCAATGAAGGGATGGATGGACTGCTATAGGACTTAACTTTTATTTTAAAATTGTTGTAACTGAACTAGTCTTATAGCAGTCATTAGATATTAATTCGTAACCCTTTCCTTATTTCGAAGTATTTTATAAAAATTGATTATTCGAATTTGTGAAATCATTATTTATTGAAATTAAATTTAAGGTGTTACAGTTTTGCTGAGCATTTTGACGTATTAAGTTGTATATACATGTATTACATTTCTATCAATTTTATGAATATGATTGTTTATTGTATAAGTTCACCTTTGCATTTGTTGTACTTGTATGTGTACTGCGATGACCGTACGGTGATATGTGAGCAGATGAGATATGTGATTTTTTCAATAATTTTGTAGAATAAATCTCATATCTTTCTAAAATACAAAAATTTTATACATGATAAATTGCACTAGTATGTCATGAATCTTTCCCAAAAAAAGGTTATGACAGGTGAAGCAACAAATTCTAAAGTTTATTTCAAATAGTTTTTTGTTAGAAGTTACATTGTTTCTTTGCCTTTTAATTACTTTCTCTTTATTTTCATTACACAGTATTTAAATTTAAATAATTAAATTACAATAGTTTTGATATTAAAAATAATCTTTAAAGAATAATATTTTGAGAACTTAATTTAAGAACTATTTTACTGTTATTCAACGTGTACATTTATCAACAAACAAGTGCTAAGTATACTTGAAGTTTTCAGCAAAATTACACTCAGCATTAGAAAATGTAACAACTGAAAATTGAAGAGAGTAGTCGGCATACCTATATATCGTGTATATTTTGCTGCTGTTATTTAGTTCGGAGATGTAAATATTAACAATGCTTGTATAATATAATTTATAATTTATTGTTTGGTTTCTTTACTTGTTCTTAAGTGAGTTAATATTTTTTATTTTTGCAAATTATTTTTCTTTGGGGTAACAATATTTACCATAGAGATGCCATTTAGAAAACTGCATTTACGTCGTGTGATCATCATATATTCATATCAACAGTAGAAAGTTAATCCAAGGTGAATTTACAGTTGCAAAGACATTACTTAGTGCATGCATACACAACTGTTCTTTACAATTCAAAACTCTAGAACTCTCCCCTTATCTGGACAGACCGTAATTTTAGTCAATAGCTTATTCAACTATTGGATGATTTGTTAATCCCCTTTTCTCGCCACCTTCCAAGTACAAAATGAAGCAAATTTTTTAGTAGGGTAATTTTGACGTGGCATTAAAGTCATTATTTGAAATTAATGTATTGTATGGTTCAAGTATAATATTAAATAAACTAAAAGTTAATTTAAAAGTGTTTGTTTAAGTTTGTTTAGAAAATATTGCACTTGATAGAGAAGATTTTGTAAGTTATGAAAATCATAATTTGTAGAAAGATTAACAATATATAATTTTAAGGAACAAAATGAGATGAATAAAAAAATTAGAGTTTGATGCTACAAATTTTAAACTTTGGTGCATAAGAAAAATTAGAAGAAAAATCACAGTAAATATCATTATGGATAATACTTTAAAAAAATATAATTTAGAATAACAACTGTTCAGGGTTTTGGACCTTGCAAACAATAGTTTATCGGGCAATATCCCAAATTGTTTCAATAACTTGAATGCCATGAAGCTGCCAAACAGAAGTACTGATGCATCTGTCTATTGTTTATCAGTAAACAGTTCTGGAATTAGTTTTCTGAGCATGCTTCTGTGGCTGAAAGGAAGGGGAGACGAGTATAGAAATATTCTCGGTTTGATAACAAGCATTGATCTCTCAGATAACAAATTAACAGGAGAAATACCCAGAGAAATCACAAATCTGGATGGATTGAATTTTTTGAACTTGTCTCACAATGAATGAACAGGTCATATTCCACAAAGCATTGGTAGTATGCGCTCATTGCAATCTATTGATTTTTCAAGGAATCAACTTTCTGGTGAAATCCCCACAACCATATCAAACTTTGTGAGACAATAATCTATGTGGCAAGCCGTTGCCCATCAACTGCAGTTCAAATGGGAAAATTCCTAATATTGATCAAAATGGCAATGAGAGGGATGGACATGAAGTGAATTGGTTTTTTGCGAGTATGGCATTTGGATTTATGGTGGGATTCTGGGCTGTGGTTGCTCCTTCATTCATGTATAAATCATGGAGCTATGTCTATTTTTGTATTATTAATTATGTGTGGTCTAAATTATAATCTTTGTAATATGGTAATTAGTATTTTATATTTCTGCAAGTTAAAATTATCAAATAATGATGAAGCTATTGATTCACAATATTACTTGGCTGATCAAATTTAATACGGACTTTCCTATCTTTGTCTTGGTAAAATAGGTTATATGGCCCATTTATTCTCTTACTCTTGCACCATGTTTCATTTTTTTTCAATACTATTCTATATTGTGCAAAATAAAACTTTCATCATATTACATTAAGTTAGTGTCAGGTTAGACAATCTTGTTGCCCTTTCCCATCTTTATTTGTAAAAATAAGTTAAATGGCTCATTGCCTTATGCATTCACTTTGTTTCATTCTTTCAATTTCGAAAGCCTGACGCAATTTGTTTTGGGATAACAAGTTGTTGTTCTATATATGTTAGATGACATTAGAAATGAATTATAATCAGTTGGTCATGTCGTTTTTTTTTTTTTTTTTTTTTTTTATCGCCGTTGGATTTGCTGCAATAACAACAACACTCACATCATCATGAATCTTATTTCATTGTTTTTATAATAGACTTCTAAAATATGTATCTTCAATCCAGACAACAACTAATACAATCCAGCGACAAAATATAGAACAGAGGATGAATTTCTTATTATAGTACATATTCTTCAATTTATTAAGTTTTAATGTCTTAATATTTTATTTTATTTTTACAAATATTTTATAACTTTTCATTTTAAAAAATAGCATTCATTTTTTTTTCCTTCAATGCTCAAATCTTAAATATATTAGAAGAAAAAACTTATATAAAAAAATAAAACAAGAAAAATAAAGAAAAGAGAATGAGAAAGGGATAACGTATGCCGTGCAAATTAGAGTTAACCTAACTAAGCTGATTGAATGGCAATTAATTACTTATTTTTTCAGATTATTAGAGAAATCATAAAAATAAAGTTGAATGAATGCAAAATAAACTGTCAATTAAAATTAATTTATGCTATATTTGAAATAGATTTTATTTAAAATAAGAAAAATGCCAAAATGTGTCACAGGGAATTAAGATCAGAAGATTTTTTCACTTAATACACGTTAATTTCGGTCAATGAAATAACAACACTCAAACCATTTATGGATGTCAAATCAAGAGCCAAGCTCATAAATGAATTTTTCTACGATGCTACCTTTTTCCAATTGGAATTTGCAAACAAAATACCTGTGCCTACTTAAACTATACGTCGGGCACAAAATACATAATGTCTCATGCAAAATACTCTTAAAATTATATTTTAAAATCAAATTTTTAAGTTAAAGGGTCTGTAACATCAACTAACATGCGTGTAAAATGGTTAAGTTTGTAACCAGGTCATTGGTCAACCCTAGTGTTTACGTTGAAATTTCAGGTAACGGAAAAGTGAATTACCTATACATAACTTCCCAAAACAGTGTTGGACTTGGAAACGGCATTCATCACTATGCATGTAGAATACAATTTGATGTGCAATTACATCATTCTTTCGCACGTTTCATTTATTCAATCTCAAAATAACTTTGCAATTTCTGTAGTAACCCAATTCAATTTAACATTTTTTAATATTCGATCAACAGTTAAGATTAATTTTCATGAATTTCAAAGAATTAAAGTTTTTTTTTTATTATTCTTGATAACTGAGTCACGAAAATAAAATATACAAGGAGTTCTATAATATTTTGTTAATTTTAAAAGAAAAATGAAATTAAATGATTTGGAACTAAGCATGTTAATTATTGCTTGTCAAGAAGATAATTAAGACTGCACCCATTCGAAGATAAAGATTGTATTGAAGGAGGGTAAGCACAGACCCAGCTAAAAAATTGGGTTAAGGAATGTTCAAAGTCATCTCCATAGTTTTATTGCAAATTCTTTACTTAAGTATAAATATATTAAACAGTATTTCAAATTTTGGACTAAAATTATGTTGCGATCATGCACATGGCTATTTAAGTTGATAACTTCTTGTCGTGACAAATTTTTAATAATTTAGTACAAGAATTTTAAACAGTGAGAGAGATAAAAATATATATAAAAATTCACAGTCCAAGAATATTGTTCAATAATAAAATTACTTAAAGAAAAAGGAGGAAGAAATTAAAAATAAAAAAGGCACGGCACCAGCGAATATAAATATTTGAAAGGAGGTTTAATACGCAGAAGCAAGAATCACTTAAATAACATGGTATGAAATGCATTGTGTGATCATGAATTCTTCTGTACTTAACCTTGTCTGTCTTGCCTTGTTGACGTTTCCTATAGTAATTTGCAAGGCATCGAGAGATGTAGTGTGCATACCAAGTGAGAGTGAAACACTTGTGAAGTTGAAGGATCATCTCATTGATCCTTCAAACAGGCTCTCTTCTTGGAATGCAACTGCTAATACCAATTGCTGTGAGTGGTTAGGAGTTGTGTGCAGTAATATAACTGCCCATGTTGTTGAGCTTCACCTCAGTATTTCACCTCCCTCTGATGAGTACGACGATGTCGGATATGATGCTTTTGTGAAGTCGAGGTTTGGTGGAGAGATAAATCCATGTTTGGTTGATTTGAAGCATTTGAATTACTTGGACTTAAGCGGCAATGACTTTGGAGGTATGCAAATTCCAACTTTCATTGGGGCAATGACCTCCTTAACGTACCTCAACCTCTCTCATGCCGGATTCAATGGGAAGATTCCTCCTCAATTTGGGAACCTCACAAGTTTGCTTTACCTCGACCTTGGATCGAATGCCATTAGTGGAGAAATTCCTTACCAAATTGGAAACCTCACAAATTTGGTTCATCTTCGCCTTGCAAGTAATTTCTCTGGACTTCTGTTCGCTGAAAATCTTCGTTGGCTATCGGGTCTTTCCAATCTTCAGTATGTTGATTTGGAAGGTGCAAACCTATCCAAATCATTTGATTGGCTACAAACTCTGAGTGCTCTTCCTTCTTTGACGGACCTACACTTAGCAGAATGTATTCTCCATCCTTATGATCATGATCAACCATCCTTACTCAACTTTTCATCTCTTCTCACTCTCGACCTTTCCTTGACCCAGTATTCTTCTGTTGTCCCAAAGTGGATATTTGGAATGAGGAGACTTGTTTCTCTTCAATTAAGTGATAATTACTTCAACGGTCCAATTCCTGATGGCCTTCAAAACCTCACGCTTCTTGAAAATCTTGCCTTGCATACCAATTCATTCTCATCTTCTTTACCTGATTGGATATATAGTTTTCGTCATCTCAAGTTCTTAGACCTTGCATTCAACAACTTGTGTGGAAATATTTCTGATGCCTTGGGAAATTTGACTTCTCTGGTTGAACTTGATTTCTCTGAAAATCAGATTGAAGGAATAATTCCAACTTCTTTGGGTAATCTCTGCGACATAAGGGAAGTTGGTTTCTCACATCTCAAACTCAAACAACGAGTTAGTGAAATCTTGGAAATTATGGCTCCATGTATTTCCCACGGACTCACAACTCTTGAAGTTGGAAGTTCTCATCTCTCAGGCTATCTCACAGATCAAATTGGGATGTTCAAAAATATTGAGCTATTGGACTTTTCCGTCAACTCAATTCACGGTGCACTCCCTCGATCATTTGGAAAACTCTCATCATTAAGGGTTCTTGATCTGTCCAACAATCAATTCAATGGAAATCCATTTGAAAGTCTTGGATCGCTCTCTAAATTGTCATTTCTTTTTATTGGTCACAATCGTTTTCAAGGAGCTGTGAAGGAAGATGATCTTGCAAATCTTACGAATTTACAGAAATTTCATGCAAGAGGGAACAACTTCTCTTTAAAAGTGGCTCCTAATTGGCGTCCTACATTTCAAGTTGTTGAATTGATACTGAGCTCATGGAACTTGGGTCCCAAATTTCCATCGTGGATTCAGTCACAAAAATATCTTGAATATCTGGAAATCTCTAACGCAGGGATCTCAGATTCTATTCCCACTTGGTTTTGGGAACCATTTTCTCAGGCTCATTATTTGAACCTCTCTGGTAATAATATCCATGGTGAGCTTGCAAATACATTGAAGAAACCAATATCTATTGAATCTTTAGATCTAAGCTCGAATCACTTACATGGAAAATTACCTTGTCTTTCTACAACGGTGCAATGGTTAGATCTTTCAGGCAATAAATTCTCAGGATCGATGACTGATTTCCTGTGTAATAACCTAGACAGCCCAAAGCTATCTTTAGAATTTCTCAACCTTGCATCAAATAATTTATCAGGGGAAATACCAAATTGTTGGACATTGTGGCCAGCTTTAAAAGTCATAAATTTACAAAGCAACCATTTTGTTGGGAACTTGCCCCCATCGATGGGTTCGTTAGTTTGGCTAGAGGCTTTGAAAGTTAGTAACAACACGCTCTCTGGAGAATTTCCTTCCAGCTTGAAGAACAATACTATGTTAATATCCTTGCACCTTGGGAAAAATAGACTAACAGGAATTATTCCCGAATGGGTTGGAAAAAGGCTTTTAAATTTGAAAATTCTTTGTCTTCATGCAAACAACTTTTGGGGTCACATTCCCAATCAAATATGTGAGATGAGTCTTCTTCAAGTTTTGGACCTTGCACGAAACAATTTGTCTGGCAATATACCTAATTGTTTCAACCACTTGAATGCAATGGCATTAAACAACAGAATTACAGATTCATTTATCTATTGTCAGGTAATTAACTTGGCAGGAGATGCTTGTGTAGTCAGTGTCCTTCTATGGCTGAAAGGAAGAGCAGATCGGTATAGAAACAATCTGGGTTTGGTAACAAGCATTGATCTTTCAAATAACAAATTATCAGGAGAAATACCTAGAGAACTCACAAATTTGTCAGGACTATATTTTTTGAACTTGTCCCACAACCAATTAAGTGGTCATATTCCTCCAAGTATTGGCTCTATGGGATCATTATTGTCCATTGATTTCTCTAGGAATCAACTTTCGGGTGAAATCCCTTCATCCATGACCAAGTTGACCTTTCTCAGCATGCTGGACTTGTCGTATAATCATCTGAAGGGAGAAATTCCAACAGGACCTCAATTGCAAACATTTGAAGCATCCAACTTTATTGGCAACAATCTATGCGGTCCTCCACTGCCAGTCAATTGCAGTCTGAATGGGCAAGCTCCTCATGATGATCATAAAGGCAGAGAAAGTGATGGGCATGGAGTGAATGGCTTTTTTGTTAGCATGATATTTGGATTTGTAATAGGATTCTGGCTGGTGGTTGCTCCTTTGTTCATTTATCGATCCTATAGGTTTGCCTATTTTCGTTTAGTTGACAATGTTTGGTTCAAACTGCGAAATGTTCTGGTCATGTACTAGTTACACTTTTACATTGTGGGAAATAAAATTATGACATTGAATAAGTATTATTAATTCACATTGTGTAGATGAATTGATTAATTTCTGTGGTCTTTCCTTGCTTCATGTTTACTGAAATAGGTAAGTGGATCCCTTGCTCAGAACACTTTGGAGATTATGAATAAAATATCTATTGTGGGCTGTTCAATCTAAGCAGAGTTTTTTAATGAGATTTTATAGCACAAGTATACAAATGTACAATAAAGGAAACAAGCTGACAAAGAGCCCTTGTAAAATCAAACTTTCACCCCTTGAATTTTTAATGAACCTACCCATTGCTTAGCATAACCTTGGACTATCACAACATGCCGTCAAAATGTTAGATCAAATCAAAGTTAAGCATAACAACAATTAGATTGAAGTATATCAATTTCAGAGTGATGCATTGGCCATTTCTGGTATTTTTGTCGAATCAATAATATATGAGGCATGAAGGAATTCATTTAAAGCATAAGAATAAATTGTTGAATCTTTCAGGTTAGACGGTCGAATGGAAAACGAAATCTGAAACAGAAAATTGTTCACTAAAACAATTTTTCAATATCATTATCGCAAAGACACCAACCAAAGCTATTCTGTTTAATCATTTCCCAATATCATTATCGCAACTCAAAGTATTTTAATGATAATATTTTTGTTTATAAAAATATTGTAGATAATCTAATTGTTACTATATTCTTATATGAATCATAAATGATAATTAGAGTAATATTGATGCTTCACTAATGGAAATTAATGCTTACTGTATTTTGACTATTAGTGTTAATTTATTAAAACAAAAATTGTATGCACTGTATAGTTGTCACTTAGATATTGTCTCTTTTAATATTATATATAATAGTGCAAAAACTAAATTAGATTTTATATTTTGAAATACTTTTGTATTTGAATGTTATGATTTGCAATAAAAATTCTACAAAATAGCTATTATATAATATGTACTTATTTAGTTTAATTATTTTATTGTCATTACTAAAAACTTCAAATTTTAAATTAATACTTTTATTCAAATTAAATTGAAAATCAGATTTAAGTGTCACAGTAACAAAAGTAAATGTTGAGCGACTATAAATGTACTATACCAAACTAATAATATATTTAGTAATATTTCGTATAGACCTGAATAAAAAAAATTAGTATTAATTATTTTTTTGAAGTTACTATGAATTATTATGTTACGTAAAAGTCTTTTTTATATTAACAATTTTTTTTAATCCGTGCAAAAATAAATATTAATAAGAAATTAAGAAATAATAGTTTTTTAATGTAAGTATAGAACTTAATACTATTAATATATTAAATTTATTTAATTCAATAAATTTTTGAAAAAAATTATATATGAATTTTTATTATGTGTAATTTTGTATAGATTAAAAAGTTAATATATTGAATTAATAGATTTCTTCAACTTATTCTGTAGTAACATTGGTTCATTAACCTAATTAAAAAAATAAGCTCCACACTAATTAGTATATTATTGCTACTAAAGAAAAGCAATTACCAACCTTCCTGTGTTAAATACTCATTATATTTTGCTGATGTGAAAAAAAAAAAGGAGATCAATAAACCTGAATAAAAAGTCCTAAAAAATAATAAATTTTAGTCTTAATTATGTTTATGAATTATGTTTAGGAAAATAATAGAAAAGAGAATGAGTTTGTTTATTCTAGTACATATTCTTCAATTTACTAAGTTTTAATGTCTTAATATTTTATTTTATTTTTACAAATATTTTATAAATTTTTTATTTTAAAAAATAGCATTCATTTTTTTTCCTTCAACGCTCAACTCTTAAATATATCAGAAGAAAAAACTTATATAAAAAAAATTAAACAAGAAAAATAAAGAAAAGAGAATGAGAAAGGAATAAAGTATGCTGTGCAAATCAGAGTTAACCTAACTAAGCTGATTGAATGACAATTAATTACTTATTTTTTAAGATTATTAGAGAAATCATAAAAAAAATTGCATGAATGCGAAATAAACTGTCAATTTAAATTAATTTATGCTATATTTGAAATAGATTTTGTTTAAAATAAGAAAAAAGGAAAAATGGCATAAATAGCTGCCAATGTAGAGTTTTTCTACATTGGAATTTGCAAAGAAAATACCTCCCTTCTTAAACTAAACGCAATTCGGGCACAAAATATCATGCAAAATACTCTCAAAATTATATTTTAAAATCAAATTTTCACTTCTTGGATGCTTAATGAACATTCCCTATTGCTTGGCATAATTACACACTTCTAAACCAATTTCATGTGCCATCAAAATATAAGGTTAAACCGAAGTTAAGCAAAACAAGAACTAGATTAAACTATATCAACTCTGGAGTGACCAGTGATCCACTGCTAATATTTTAGTGCGTGTTTGAATTTAAGTTTGAATAATCATATATCAATATTTATTTTAATACTATTAAAGCATAAGGTTTGTTACATCTTTCACGTTAAAGGGTTTGTAACATCACCTAACATGCGTGTAAAATGGTTAAGTTTGTAACTGAGTCATGGGTCAACACTAGTGTTTACGTTGAAATTTCAGGTAATGTTAAACAGTGTTGGAAACGGGCATTCACTGTGCAATTACATCATTCTTCGCACGTCGTTTCATTTATTCAATCTCACAATAACTTTGCAATTTCTGTAGTAACCCGATTCAATTTAACATTTTTTAATGTTCGATCAACGGTTTAGATTAATTTTCGTGATTTTCAAAGAATTAAAGTTTTTTTTATTCTTGATAACTGAGTCACGAAAATAAAATATATGAGGAGTTTTATAATATTTTGTTTAATTTTAAAATAAATCAAATTAAATGATTTGGAACTAAACATTGTTAATTATTGCTTGTAAAGAAGAATGATACAATTATTATTTAGATTATAGGGCTGGAAACTGCATGCATATATGTATTAATCATTATTAAGTATTGTCAAATTATAAATATAATGGGCAAGATGGATAACTTTGGTGAATTATGAAACATTCTCATTTTTTATTTAAAAGTAAATAAGTTTTTACAGCGAGGGAGAAAATAGGAGAATTTTATTCTATTTTACTATTTAAAGAATTAGATAAAAGCAAAACTTACATTCCTTTCATAAAAATTTTACTTAATTCAAAAATATTTAAAATTTTCAAAGATATAATTTTGAGACATTAAAGCAATAAATAAAACTTATATTTATATCTAACAAATTATTTGATTCACAATACATATATATAATTCAAAGATATAATAAATAACACCTTAAAAGTATTAATTACAACAAGAATTTATCCAAGTATTTTAGAATTCTAAAATTGGCATTTGAAAAATATTTCCAAAACTTGTCAACTTAACATGTAAATAGGGTAAAATACTACAATTTCTCAATTTATTCTAATTCCTACAAAGCAGTCTTTCTTCCAATATTATTGGACTATGATCCTAGAACAGATCGATCATCTCATCCCTTTCTCATTTGTCTTCCTAAAAATAGTTAGTAAGGGTGAGTATTTCCCGTTCTACTAAATCTCTTATTTGACATAAGAAATATAAAAATATATAAATATAATACTAAAAATATTATCTAATATATGTGTATTTGATTAACAATAATACTCAATATAAGTCATTTTCACAATGGAACACATATATGACAATCAATCAATCATCTATGCAATTATTTATGGCATGCATTTTCATACTAATCTATATGTCATGATACATGTATTATACCACATCAACCAATATGCCACGATACATGTGTCCTAATCGCACCCGTCGATATATTACAACACATATATTACAACAACATTAATCAATATGTTACAATGCATATATTATAATCACACAATTTCTATACTACTTCATATTCATCACACTTTCACATTTATTACACTTTCATATTCATTGCCCTTGGGATCTCTTGAGGACTTGATAGCATAAATAGTTGTTGGTTAGCCGTAACAACACAGATACACACGTGTGTCGACCCAGCCTGTTTTAGCGAAGGTATGGTCAGGGGTTTAGGTTAGAAAATAAATGTGAGGCCTTTAGTGTCTTTTCTCTCTATTTCATTAATTTTTACGCAATCATGGAAAAGCACTCACCACTCTCATTTCTCCCAAATCTTTCCAATCGTCTCCATCTTCCACACTCTCAGTATATCTCTATGACTATCTATACTTATTCTCAACATTTCTTATCTCATTCTCATTCTCATTCTTTCCCATATCCTTCTCATAGATCAACATGCTATAATATGTGAGTCTTGATCATATAACTTAATGCATTACAATACATATATTGTGAGTACATCTTTTGATGTACCACAATACCTGCATCATAATAACATCCATCATGTCATATCATTTACTTTTATACATTAAAATCTTTCTTTATTTGAGAACAATATAGCACTTGTCATCAATAACATAATTTCACTCATTTCAACATACACCAGTCATCACAAACATTCATATTTATAGTATCATATCCATCTAACACAGAAGGTCTTCAAACAATTTCATACCACATTGATCAATACAATGTGCCGACGGTCGAACACCTCTAGACTCAGTCCAATCGTACAATTTCAATACAGTCATCTATCCTAAATTTTGGTAACAACCAATATTCATAGTATATCTATTATTCCAAAAATATTAAATGTGTAAATATTCAATTACCTCTGAACGAGGGTGGCTAGTAAAATCATAATATTTCTTAAATTAGTTTTATTTAGAGCTTTAGTTATAAATTGTATTTAGTTGGTTCTAAATATAAGCATGGAGTTTTTGTATCAAATTCTCTATCCCTACACATATGGATTTTTAAGAAAACCTAGTATTTTCAAACCAAAATACTAAGAAGGAGTTAGGGTTTGGGATTCACTCTCCTTACGTGGAAATAGGTCTCTCAGATCGGGTTTTGTGAGATATGGTAGAGAATATCATCTTAGG